ACTGTTAAGCTTGGTTGTCAAGACCTGACCTGCTCTGGGTTGTCTCCATCGGATAAATGGCTGGATGAATTGAGGTCTACGAGATCAACGGCCCGCTTCGAGGTCATCGATGGTCAAACACAGTCTTCGAAGATTCGCATGCCGCAACCACGTGCGTGACCCACGACATTGGATAGGTGGGACCACAGTATTGTACACTGCCTTGACCGCAAACCTGATGTCATCTCGGCGCCACAGGTGAAGTTCGGCGAACGTCGAGATGGTATATTGCCGCGGTGTCCAAAACTAGACAGGAGGGCGATTGTTGTCAGCAACCTTCGGTTCGAAAGCCAAACGGCTAGCCAGCGATGTTTAGCGTGAAACGCCAGTACGTTACATTTCTTTCAAAAGAAATGGTCGCCGCACTTGTTCTGACCTGAAGAATCAAGAGACTGTGTTGATCAGCTACCTAACGTCTGACCAACTTGGTATGAGACACTGCATGTGTCGCACGGACTTCTCTCAATATAGCCCAATAAATTACGGAGACACCAACCATCACGCATAAGATCCAGTCTTTTCGTGATGGATACTTAGCCGCCGCGGCCTCCGTATCTTCATAAGTGAGCTGCTAAAAACGGGGAGTGCGTGTATCCTGGGTACCAGTCTATCTCAACTGATTTAACATTATGGTTGTGTTTCATACCCGACTACACGTTTTCTGCCTTGCTGTAACTCAGGTGCACACAGGGACAGGAGCTTAGGATACCTCTGTGAAGGGTCGGTTGCTCCTCCCGCTGAACCCTTTCATAGACGTATCCTTAATGTCCCAACCATTGGTATCTCTCAGCCGGACAAAAACCAGGTGAAGTGTCATGTGTCATGGACTTGGTAATAATTGATTTTTCAGCCAATATCCCTTGATCGTGTTCACACTTGGCCGTGTCCATGTCTGGCCATGTGAATTCCGAATTATTGCCTCATTATCCTTTAACTAGTCACCGTGGTGGACTTTGCTACGAGATCTTGCTGATCTTGCGGAGGAGCTCTGTTCGACCTTCATCTTGACCGATGTTTGAAGTGCACGCACTGTACCAACGTTTCATCTGCTCAACATAGGTGAACCTCCGGAATTTTTCATGCTTGCAGTTCACATTCCCAGTGCGATGCCATCTTTCGCGCCTTCGGCCGCATAGGACACTAGTAGTAAGTGCGGAACGAGGGAGCCACTATGTCAACTTCACTGTCAATTACCTCCGCAATAGCGCTCACCTATGGATAAACGTCACCATCCAGATTATAAGCACTTACTTCAAACTTGCCCAGGGTTGTCAACGCCTTGTCGAAGAGGTACGTGGAGATATTCATAATCGTCACTAGCACATCGGTGTTCAAGAGTAATGCCCCGTCGTACAACCACAATCCGTTTGATATTTTTTCTGTGAATAAAATGACTAACAATGGATGGGGAAGGAACGTATTGCCTATACGCTGGATATAAAACTGCCAACAAGGACGCCATTGGCATCGAGTACCAGCCATATTTCAGCTTTTCCAACGATGCACAGGGGGGATTACGTGTAAGCTATTCGGAAGGCGAGCCCCACTGATATACCCTTCTGCTGGGTCAAAGATTGGCGACATCTCTGCATACACCATCCTGAGTTGGGTGCAGAAAATAGCACTCTTCGGCAAACCGTAAGTCGGTATGTGCAATATATGCCTCAACCATCACAGCTTTTGCTGCTGAATATATTCTCCAGTTGAAATCCCTGTTGCACACTTGAACAGTCGTTTTTATAAATGTTCCGTTGCTGATTCGTCGGTACCGATCTACACGAGCTATGCTTAAGAGATAAGTTGACGAACACCTGAAGACCTCTCAGTTCCGCTCTTCGAGGTGGGCACGTCTCACAGCCATATGACGAAACAGCCCGTAATCTAGCTTAACACGTCCCTTGAGGTTCAAGGAACGTTGCTTTGCCGCCACATGTATCTCAAGTTATCAAACACGACCCGTTCGTTCAGTTGTAGCACCCTTTCGGCGCCTAGCTGTCATGTCGACAGAACGCGGCACGAGGGCCTTAGCACTCCAAGGTTGCCCAGGCCTAGACGAGAGCAGTCGAGATTCTGAGACTGGGTTCGAACCACGGACCGTCCGATCCGTAGGCTGGCTCCTTAAGCACTGAGCTATCACGAGTTTTGCAGATGTGCAGAATGTACTTTGGAAATTCAGTGATACTGAACTTTCGAGTCTGTTATACTTATGGCGTTGTTCTAGAACCTAGGGTAGTTTTGGTCAACGCAACTCCTACGAAGCTGGATTCCCGCTTGTTGCTCTCGAGTCATTGCCTAACGATCGACCATAAGACGATGGAGGACAGGTCACACTAAGAGTCTTGGTACAAGTGGAATCAGGTGAATCCCTCTAATTACTCACGACGGGCCCTTAAAATAGATACCGCCACCTACTCTCCCAGATGAAGGCAAATAGATCAGACAAGCGTTACCTGAGGACTTCATCTCCATCCTTGAACAATGCGGATAGGAGGTCATCTGGTCCAGGAGCTCAGTGGCGCTTGACAGAGCATATGCAATCGTAAACCATCATGAGGAACTGCATCTTATCGTGGTGTAATGGTTTGTATGCCTCCGTGATCCATTTAGCTACACTGGAGATTTCTCAGAGATGCCTGACCATCACGGTCTCTTGGGCCTTGAGGTTGGGGGTTAGGATATGTGTGGTGGCTTATTCTATGAAAATTGAAATGCACTTGCATTTCCCTGTAAACACCGCATCCTTGCGGTCAGGTTTTTCAGCCAAAGGCTATGGTCGAGTGCCCTCCTTTCTGAGTGTCTTGGCAGTATCCCAGGCCGCATACAACCATGATACAGCTAAAACCACTCACGCTACATCGGCCTTGCGCGTGGTATTGCTAGCTGGATGAGCGAAAACAAGCTACTGATGATATCTTCCTCCCTTCACTGTAGCATTTTCTCCCTTTTACCCCACTCCACTCAAAAATTTAACACTCTCCGCAGGTTCAAGCACTAGGTTCAAGCCGTTACGTTCGCCCTGCATCATACTCAGCTGCAGATCCTTTACCTCCAACTTCAGTAGCAACCCTAAACTCTTCCAAGTCTGTTTTCAAACCCCGAAAGCTGTCGACTTAGCCGCCTTTATTGTTCGTACACTGCAGCGAGCAAAACAACAGGTGACTCTTGATTGCGCGTTTGATTCCCCCCTGCATTGATGTATGTTGTCTGTTACGAAAGAGGATACAGGACGCAAGTACTGTGATCGAACTGACTGCCTCCTCGCTCCCTTTCAGGTTCTGGGTACGCACCTCTGGTGATTTAGGGACTGCTACGGCTAGATATTCTGTGGTGGGTATTATATTGAGCGAACAGTCGGAAACGTCTCCACTTGATTATCTACCCGTTGATAGTCGCCTCTGAGCGGTTCGTTTGGCAAAGTCTGTGATGGGATGTCGAAAATTGAGGTCTATCACACTGTTTATTGTGTCTGCTTACGTCACAATTGACCGTATCTCTGAATCTGCTGAAAGCGGTTTCTATGGCGCTCCTGGTGCTCTTTTACAATGGACTTAAAGTTCAGATATCGTTGTAGTTGCTGGTGACATGAACGCCCAGGTAGGTAGACTAAGCTAGTTGAGGCCGGATTGCGTGGTCGTCTTGGACTGGACACGAGACGCGCGGAAAACGGATATCACATGCTTCAGATGTGTGCCTATCACAGACTGTTCCTTTGCAGTACCAATTTCCGAAACAGCGGAAATCGACTGGCATCGTGTTTCTCACCAACGAACCAATCCCAAATCCAAATCGCCATCAGTTGTCTGTTCCAGTAAATCCGACTGCCGTTTGTTGTCAAGTAGAGCCAGATCATTGATACAGAGCTGAAGGTTGCGCCCAGCATTGCTTCCTATTTGGACGGTCTCATCGGCATGGGTCACAAATCCGACAGCGCCTTGATCCACATACTTGGATTCAGAATGCACCGAAAAAATGCACCTTGTTCATGCGGTCGATAAAATACGTACCCCAGCACCTACAGATGTGACATCTCTCAGGTCCTTCATCGGTATTGTCCGTCACTACAGCTCTTTTCAGCCTTCCATGCATCGCCTCCGAGGTCCACTGAACCAGCTGCTCATCAAGGACCACAAGCGAACTTGATCATAAAAATTCCAACGCTCCTTGGACTCTGTCAAATCCATGCTGAGTCCCAATTTCCTTCTTACCCACTACGATCCGTCACCATAAATCTTTATGGCCTCGGGTGTTTCGGACTATGGGATTGGTGCAGTGATTTCGTAGGTATTTCCCGACAACAACCAGAAAGCTAGTGCACACACGGCCAGAGCCCTGACATCAGCCGAGCAAACTACTGTCAGATGGAAAAGGAAGCTTTCGCGATCGTGTTTGCCGTCAAAATGCTTCATAAAATGCTCCACGTTCGTCAGTTCACCCGGTGTCTTCGGGGCATTGCCCGAGTATGGTGGGAACACCGATCAGTAATGCTTAAGTACGTCGAATGGGTTTCGGAAGAAATAACTCTTCTGCGATGGATGAATTGATCAAACCCCATAGGTTGCGCTCTTTTGGCTACGTGCTCCGTATGCCAGTTGCCCGACTTCTTTGAAGGGCTCTTTTCGCACAACCACGCGAGAGTTGGAAACGAGCCAGGCGAGATCAAATAAGGACTTAGCAGCGAACCATGAAAGCCGTTACCAGCAAACTCAGTTACCATGGTCATTGTCGTCTCGCTGAATCGGAACCTCCAGACGGGCTACATTATTGGTTTTGGAGACAGTCAAATGTGGCCCTGTCGCACCCTTAGTGGCTCTTCTGCATTCAAGCTATTGCCTTCAATATATAGCTCCCCTTCCGATCTCTTCAATGAAAGGTCCACTGAGAACCCTGCATTTACACATCAGTTATATCAGCTACCGCTTTCAAGGCACAGCTATTCACTCCACACCACCCCCAACTAATAGATGAACAAAACTGTGGCAGCCAGAACCACTGCACGACAAGTACGCGTTTTTACAGCTGTTGCCGATGGCTTGTCTGGAACCACGTTGCGCTCGTGGTAAGGTTGATTTGTTTCCGATCGTATTGGATAATTCGATAACGGTCACGGCTAATCGTTGGGTGATCGGAGTGTTAATCTTTTAAGGCCGACTTGTTCTAACCGACCTCCTCGGAGGAAGGCGACATCACTGCTTCCACCAATGTGAATGTGAATTATTGTCTTCAGTATGACAGTACGACAGTATGATTTTACTTCCGTACCGCTTCGGATTGCGGTTATTTGCAATATGGAGGCTCGCTGGTTTTCTTGGTCCTTTCTGGTATGACTAAATATTGTGAATCAAAGCTCCACTCAGTATAGCCCGTGGGACCATTACAGCACTCAAGCCCAACCACCAAAGCGGTATCCCAGCCCTCGTGCTTCCTTCGGGTGGGAGCTAGGCACTGAAAGGGTGTTGCACCTGAATGATTTATTTTTTATTACCATGACATAATGACATCTTTCTTCGCTGCCCATCCCTCTTTCCACCCTCTGCATAGACTATCATTCGGCGTGGCTGTGTAGCAGTTATGCGTTATTATGTATTACTGATGTGTTGCTGTCAATGATGGTGATTATGATTATCTCAAGACCGAAGGACCGTCGAACACACTTCGACGATCGGAAAACGTGCGTTCACTTCGCAGGACATTTTTCTTGATGGGTGCAGCCCCTTTCACTACGAGCAAACCAAGCTAGTCACAGTAGGTAAATGTCCTTTCTTGGTTATTAAGCAGCTATCGACCATAGGATTTATCTGCCATTTTTGTCCAGATAAACCGAACGCCCGTGATTTTCGTTTCCTTCCCCTTTTAGATTTTATGACACCACAACAATATATCGTCCGATTGCTTCACCGCGAATGTCTGATCTAGATAACAGCGTAAGCAGTCCTGTCGTATAATTTCTTTTCTTCAGTTTGATTCTTCCAACAGTGAATGCTACTTTCAGCCGGTTGTCAGCCTCCCACCGATAGCGATATCAAATACGGAGGAGAATGAAGAGGGCGTATTTAAGCGGTAATTCGAATTTCTGGCACTTCACTGGTGCAGAAAAGCCAAACTCTACCGGTATGATAGGGCAGAGGATCCACCTGAATGGAAAGAACGCGGGAAAGGAGTTATTCAGATTTTAAAGCACAATAAAACCGGTCGGTATCGAGTGCTTATGCGCCGAGACAGGACCTTCAAAGTACGTCTTGTCAGAGCCTTTTATTGATGAGCCTTGTAACTCACGCAGAGACGAAGTCGTCTCTCTCCCTTCCACAGCAAACTTGACGAATTTATTTCTTTGAAGATCTTCATTATCAGTTTAGTTCACCCCAGCTTACCACATTACCACCTTTTACACAGCTCTTTTTTAAACGGAAAAATACCGTACTTTATGCTTCATAGTGCATATTTTCATGTGTATGTAAGCACATCTTGGTGTTGGTCACCAATTAATTTTACTAGTATAACCGAGCTGCCTGTGTTGTTCGGTTAGTGTGCTCCTAGCCCTGATTCATTCCTGGTGTTCGGGCTACATTCAGATACACTTTACGACGAAAGTAGGTGTTATGCACGGGACCAGACCATATAAACTGAAAACAGCGATGATGTTTCAATCAATCCTGCTAATGTTTGCTTCCTAATCTAATACCACTATGCTCTATTCGTTCGTCACCATCAGTGGCATCATTATCAGTGCTGAACACTTTCGCTTCGCTGTAACGCGTAGTGACAAGTTAAACGAAAATACGCTATTTCCATCTAATCACAACTGTTTTGCGGTGGTCAGTAAAACTCGACAGACAACATACTGCCACCTTTCGCACCTTCTGTAATCCTTCATGGTTGCTTACTATTTGCTGCCTTTCCTCCTTATTTGCCTGCTTGGGCGATGTTTGTGGAAATTTCGCAGGTAATGAGGAGTCACCCCATAGTGAGAGAATGAAGAGCATTGTACAGCTGTTTCATCCCTGTAGAGCTCGAGATAGCTCAGTGGTTAAGGTCCGAACTTACTGACCGGGAGGTCGGTTTCGAACTCAAATTTAACATCTCGACTACTCTTGTTTAGGCTTGGACAACCTAACAGTTTCTTAACACTCGTGCTTCCTGAGGGCGGCGTGGCAGCCAGGCCCCAAAAGGGTGTTACAAGTGAACGATTGTTTTTATTTATTCATCCTTGGTGGCAACCATCAGCGAAACTCCCTGCGACCTCAGGCAAACAGTATACCATCCGACTGTGAGTGGCTGATCAAGAGTCTGGTCAACCACTGATTTGAATGTCCACCAATACTCGCTAGATCCACTCTCCTGATGCTTTCCAACAACAACTAATCGGCTTCATAACTTTCTCGGCTTTCACAAGTTAACTCCAATCGTATTATGACATTCCGCGAGTCCCTGATTTATCCCTGTCATTATTCACAGTCGGATGTCGTTCAGTGCTTAAATTCTCCAATGTGTTCAGCGAATGACAGTAGCTAAGCGTAGCGTACATGTGAGTTGCGAAATCACCTAGCGAAACTCCGGATAACAGTTCGGAGATGTATGGTTCTTGGCGAGGTTTTCATTGCGTGGGTGTTTTCTTTCCGAGCGTGGCATAACTCATTGGGTTAGACAATAGGCTACTAGCCGGAATTTCCGTTTGAACTTAGCCCTGGATTCTCAACTACTCCTGTACAGACTTCATAAAGTACATCTCAGAACGCATCCTTTCCTCCCCTGGGTGTTTTTTCACAATGACAGATTTCCAAGTTTTCGCATATGGCTTCTGTCGTGTGGATTTTTTTTACCTAATCCCATTTCATCCTGTCATTACTGTTGCAACCAAGGCCATTGTTGATCCGAATTCCTCGTGAAACATTCGTTTTATTTCTTGAAAGGTGTGATCGTTTTGGATCGCGTCTCTGATAATTTATTGTCCAGTCAAGCTTCGGTCATATCTTCTTCCTGAACACTGACTTGATAAGTTCCCTCTTAATTAGTGCCTTACCGCTCGTACATAAACCTTGAGAACCTCAACACGTCTGGTGCGGTTCAGTTAGCGTTCCAGGTATGTCCTAGCCGTGCATAAAAAGAAGTGTTAACCTGTCAGAGTCTCCCAGTTCGCGACACAGAACACATCCATTCACACTGTCAACTCTCGACCTTCATTGAATAATTACTCAGTACAGTGTTTTTCCCTATGTTCCTATCAGAGTGGACTACCCAAACCAGAGGCGTAGAGTGGCGAGCTGCACGGTGGTGCGTCCAGGACGACAGTGTGAGCTGTCTGTCAAGTGGCCTAATTATTTTATTTGCTTTTTACTTGCGCGTGTCTACCGTGAAAATACTTCCAAGTGTGGACCAAACAATTGCTTGTTTGAAAGTCCCAGTCTAACAGCGCTAGGTTTCCACTTAGACAGCGAATTCGCTCAGTCGAATACAATCACTAGTAGCTACGGCTTAACGCGGCTGCATAAACTCTCTCGGCAGTATATTTTCGTAGGCCTACAGGGTAATGGTACTGTTTGGATGTCTGTTAAATTAGGAGACTTCACCCCTATTGGTATACTGGCACGGACACTAAACGAAGCTAATTTTCCCTCATTTCCAATGAGGAAATTCATACCTTTGAACTATCAGGTGGATGTTGCGACCATTCATATAACTTGTGCGGTGAACCACTCTTAGGGTTTATGTGCCTTTCCGTAACTTCCAGAGCTATAACTTCACGTGAGACACTGTTAGGCCAATGGATACTTGGTTCATATGAAAGTGCGATAGAAATTTGTCTGCTGACGTTTATGATCAGCTGTACGATGAGCTTGCTATTTCGAGTTGGTTATACATGTGTCGTTTTATTTTAAAGGTCTTACATGTACAGCATGATAAAAAACTTTAACCTTAACACTACGGAAATCTCCACTACATCCTAGAAGAAAACTTTGTAAAGCAAGAAACAAAAGCCTCGCTTACCGGTAGAAGCAGGCGAGGCGGTGGGGAATAAGAACCCTGACAGTAGACTCAGTAAATAGGAATTCATCGCATAATCTGGCTAGGGCATTATCACTCGAAGAGCCAGTCAACACGTGACTACGTGGTGTTTTTTTTATGATTAAAGGACGAGTAGCACAATACGGTGTCTAGGTGCCGGTTAATCATACTGCTGCTCAGCCGCTCGTGGCCGAACGATTCACTGTTCAGACTACTACCCAGGAGGTCGCCGGTTCGAAACACCCTGGAATTCCGTAAAGTGTGCGCGGCCAATGACTCCCAATGAGGATGAAACAGCTTCACGGTGTTTCTTGGCTTTTCAGCTTCACTTAAGGACGAAATCTCAATTGAAAATCCTTAAATCTCACACTGCCAACGTACAGTGGAACTGTCTACAGGATGAGGATGAGCTTCACGGTGTTTCTTGGCTTTTCAGCTTCACTTAAGGACGAAATCTCAATTGAAAATCCTTAAATCTCACACTGCCAACCAACG